CCTTTATTTTATTTATTTACATGCGGTGCTGAGAATCGAACCCAGTGCCTCACACATGCCAGGCAAGTGTGCTACCGCTAAGCCACAGCCACAGCCCACTAGTATGTTAATTCTTATTATCTGTGGCTTTTTTTAATCTTCTGTAAGAATTCTTTACCCTTAAGTAAAAAAATATTCTTATGCTTTTTCTATTAATATTTTAGTTTTTACCCTTCATATCAAATTCCATTGTACCTTGTGCATAGTATGTACATCATGGGAGATACGTATTTGTATATAGTGGGAGATATGAAGACAGCTCAATTATTCTATAAAGTAAGCTGGTTTGCAGCAAACTATCTTATAAACCAGGGTTTGGCAAACTTTAAAGGTAAGATAGTGCTACCTGGGGGCTGGAGTTGTGGCTCAGTGGTAGAGCACTTGCCTGGCATGTATGAACTAGGTTCAATTCTAAGCACCACATATAAATAAATAAAATAAAGGTCCATTGACAACTTAAAAAAATTAACAAAAAGAAAAGCTAGCACTACCTATAAGTAGCTTTATGGATTGTACTATCTGTTGCAACTACTACTCAACATTGTTGCTGCAGGATAAAGAGAACCATAGATAATATTTAAACAAGTGACTGGTTGTTTCAACTGTCATGAAATAGTATTCTTATTTTAATTTTTTAAAAATAAGATTTTGTTTCTTAGAACATATTTAGGTTCCCAACAAAATTGAGCAGAAAGTGCAAAGCATTCCCATATGCCCCCAGCTCCCCCATGATCAACATCCCACTCCAGAGTAGTACATTTGCAACAGTCATTGAACTGCGTATCAGAAGAATGCTCTCACCAGAGACCAGATCTGCTAGCATCTTGATCTCAGACTTTCCAGCTTCCAGAAGTTTAAGACATAAATTTATGTTCTTTAAGCTACAAAGTCTATGGGGCACTGAACTAAAACACTGGCCTAATGATCCCTATGCTCCATCTATTCATCTCCCTTCCCCATAATCCTTCAGAATCATTGATCTTTTTACTGTTTCCATAGTCTTTCCCTTTCCAGAATGTCACAAGTTGGAATCAGAATATGTAGCATTTTCAGATTGGCTTCTTTTATTTCATAGTATGCATTTTAACTTCTTCCACCTCTTTTTATGACCTGATAGCTCATTTCTCTTCAGCACTGAACAATATTCCATTGAGTGGATATACCATATTGTGTGAGCATGTTTTTAAACTGTTTGGGCAAATACCAAAAAATACAATTGCTAGATTACATACATGAAGAGTATATTTTTGTAAGAAACTGCCTGTCTTCCAAACTGACTGTACTGTTTGGATTCACATCAGTAATGATCAAGAATTCCTGTTGTTCCACATCCTCACCAGCATTTATAATTTTCAAAGTTTGGATTTTGACCACTTTGATAGATGTGCAGTAATTGTTTTAATTTGCAATTCCCTGATGGTATATGCTGTTAGGCATCTTTCCTGTGTTTAATTTGTCATCTACATGTCTTCTTTAATAAGATGTCTATTCAGGTTTTGCCCAATTTTTAATGGTTTTTGGTTTTTTGTTTGTTTTCTTATTGTTGAATTTTAAGGGTGCTTTGTATATTTTGGATGACAGAGGGCAGGGGATATAGCTCAGTTGGTAGAGTGCTTTCCTGGCATGCAGAAGGCCCTGGGTTTAATCCCCAGCATCACCAAAAAAAAAAAAAAATATATATATATATATATATATATATATATATATATGATGACAGTTCTTTATCAGATATGTATTTTACAAATATTTTATCCCATCTTTAGCTTGTCTTCTCTTTATCAATTATTTCTCTCTTGGGTTATGCCTTTGGTGCTGTATTTTAAAAGTCACCGCCAAGCCAAAGTTCATATATATTTTTTCATATGTTTTCACCCAAGAGTTTTATACTTTTGCATATTACATTTATGTCTGTGATCCATTTTGAGTTAATTTTTGTGATAATATGAGAGTTGTCTCTAGATTCTTGTTTTTGCATGTAGATGGCCTGTCATTTTAGCACCATTTGTTAAAAAAATAGTCTTTGCTCTTTTGTCAAAGATCAGTTGACTTTATTTATGTTGAATCTGTTTCTGGGCTCTTTGTTCTGTTACATTGACCTATTTGTCTATTCTTTCACCAGTACTACGCTATCTTAATTCCTACAACTTTATGGTAAATCTTGACATTAGGTAATATCAGTTTTGCAACTTTATTCTTCTCTTTTGATATTGCATTGGCTAGTCTGGGTCTTTTGCCAGTCCCTATAAACTTTAGAATCATTCTGTTCATATCCACAAAATAATTTGCTTGGTTTTTAATTGGGATTGTGTTGAGTCTAAATATCAAGTTGAGAAAAACTGGCATTTGAACAATTTGAGCTTTCTTATTCAGAAATGGAATATCTCCCCACTTGTTTAGTTCTTTCATAGAAGTATTTTAGTTTTCTTCATATATGTTGTGTGCATATTCTATTAGATTTATATCCAAATATTTTATTTTGAGGAGTATTAACATAAGTGGTATTGTGTTTCAATTTCAAATTCTAATTATTCATTACTGATGCATAGGAAAATAGCTGCCTTTTGCATATTAACCTGGTGTCCTACAACTTTGTTATTTTTATTTATTAGTTCCGTGAAGTTTTTAAAAAATTCTTTCAGGTTTTCTTCTGCAAAGACAATTTTACTCCTTTCTTCCTAATCTGTATACCTTTACTTTTATTTTCTCACTTTATTGCATCATCCAGGACTTCCAGTGTAAAGTTGAAAGTGAGTGTGGGAGGGAATATCCTTGCCTTGTTCCTGATTTTAGCAGGACAGCTTCTTAAGTTTCTTACTGTTAAGTATGGTGTTAACTGTAGGTCTTTTTTCCATAGACATTTTTTTTATCAAGTTTAAGGAAATTCCCCTGTATTCCTTGCTTATTGAGAGTTTTTATTATCAATGTGTGTTGGATTTGGTCAAATGGTTTTTCTGCATGTACTGATGTGATCTTGTGAATGTTTTCCTTTAGCCTATTAATATGATGGGTTACATTAACTTATCTTTGAATGTTGAATCAGCCTTGCATACCTGGAATAAATTCCTCTTCGTGTAATATGTAATTCTTTATACATATTGTTGGATTTTGCTAATATTTTTGTTGAGGATTTTTGAATCTCTTATTTCATGAGAGATGTTTGTCTGTTGTTTTCATATAATATCTTTGTCTGCTTTTGGCATTAGGATAATTCTGGTCTCATAGAGTGAGTTAGGAAATAATCTCTCTGATTCTACCTTCTGGAAGAGCATCTGCTCAGCTACTGGTGAGGGCCTTGTGCTGCTTCAACACACGGCAGAAACCAGGATAAGTAGGCACATGTGCAAAAGAAAAAAGGGACCAAACTCCTATGGCTGCTAGCCCATTCCCTTGAGAAAGGTTCTAATCCATGCACGAGGGCTCCATTCCCATGAACCAGACTTCCCACTAGGCCCAATCTCCTAATACCTAAATTTCGGGCAGGATACACTCAGTCCATAACTTTTCACTTTTGACCTTGTCCCAAATTCACATTCTTCTCACAATGAAAAAAAAAATTAATTCCATCCTTATAGTTCTAAAGTGTTAACTAGTCCCAACTTCAAAGTCCAAAGTCTTATCTGAAACTCAAGATGAACTCCTTCTAACTTTAAGCCTCTAAGATACTTTGGCAGGACAGGCATAGGGTAGACATTCCTGTTCTAAAAAGGAGAAATAGAATATATGGAAGGGGGGATCAACCTCAAGCAAATCCAAAACATTAAATCTTGAAACACCAGAATGGTCTTTCACTCCAAGCACAGTCTCCCGGACACACTGGGGTAGGGGATGGGCTCCCAAAGTCCTAGGCAGCTCTGGCCCCACAGCTTGGCAGAGCTCAGCCCACAGGGCTGCTCTCCCAGGTTGGAAATGCACAGATGCTTGAGTGGCATGCTGCCAGTGGCCCAACTATTTTGTGATCCCAGCACATGTCCCACTCCCACAGATGTATTAGGTTGAAGCTCTGTGATGGCTTCTTCCCTAGGCAGGTTTCTGACATAGAAACTCTGTGGTGGGTCCCAGGCAGTTCAATATATTCTTTGAAATCTAGATGAGGGCCTTCATACCTTTATAGCTCTTGCATATTTTATACACTGGGTATGCTATATTATGCCTTCCAAATTTTATTCTTCTATCAAATTGATTATTAAAAGATCAAGGAAATTTTTTTGATACCACATACTACTTTACTAAGATTACTCTGAAATGTTCACATTTTTCTGTTTCCAGCTGAAATTAATATGTACTTACTAAGAATAACAGAGTAGATATCTCATTTCATCTACACTCTCAAATAACTTGTGTTATGAATTCTGACCCTTATAGACAGATTTTTATTTATAGCGCCAACAAAATAATGTATCTAGTTTCTGGTCCTGCTCTAGGCAATGCAGCCATCACTTGCATCAGAATCACCTTGTGCGATTATTAAAAATGCAGATTCCTAGTATCCGATATCACTTGATAGATAAGACTCTATTCTGGTGCTGCCTGGATATCGAGAGTTTTAACAAGATCCCCCAGGGATTCTTATGACTAGAAGCTTGAGAATCAGTATAGAGGGAAAGGAGGCTCACCTTCTTAAAGGAGTATCCAACAAAAGCCAACCCTGGTCTCCTGCGTTAAGGAGAGTGAAGGGCTTGGGAAAGCAATTACTTTCACTCTCCATTCCTTCCTATCATTGCTTTGATATTCTTCATGGTACATATGCACAAACAAGGAGAAATTAGAAATAGCCCATAACCGTTCTCCAACCTAGATCAGTCTATTGTCGGATTTTGGGGTCGTTCAAGAAAGTTAGCGCTGTTACTTTCATGAAATAGTTGAGCTATTGTCTCATGGGCAGCATTACTAAAAATTAGGCTTTGGAATTTATCAGGGATTCCTGCCACAATGAGAAAGCGCAAAGAATCAGAAGAGAGATCTGAAGGCACCAAGTCACTGACTTTAATTCCACGGAAGAAACACAGTGAATGCAGAGCAAAGCAACACTCCAGGCCCAGCCCTCATTGAGTGGCTCCATACCGCCGCTGAAGTTATTATTAATGCAGAAGTTTCTCAAAGAGTAACAAAAAGGGCTTATCAAATAATAAACATGATTTTAAAATTCATTTTGCATCCTACTAAATTCTAAAAATGATTGTAATACGAATATTAGAATTAAGTCCCCCCAAATCCTCATCAGGAGGTTGAGTTTTTTCATTTTTTAAAAGCCACAAGAACTACAAAAAGAGCTTACACTTTTGTAGAACCTCACATTTCAACACCTGGAGTCATTATTGTAAATAGAAGATTTCAGTGTCTCAAAGTCACCTTCATTAAGCCTTTAAAATCAGCAATTTAAAAATCAGTTTCCTTAGAAAAGTTTGCGTTGAGAAAACCTTTATTATACATTATTGAACTCATTTCTATTTGAACAATAATACATAAAACAAATATTCATGTTGTGAAAACCCCTGCAAGTACCAATCGATGGTCTACAAGGAATAGAGAATATTTTTGTATATTTTTAAGGCACACATTTCTCACTTGTTTTTAAATTTTGAGCATAATTATTGTCCAACATATTTTCTGCATGACTGATAGAAAATTATTCCATAAAATCATAACTCCCGGCCCCAAATTGCCTTACCATGAGACTGAATGTGCCTAGGAAAGGCATAGTACATAAAAGTTTTCATAAGGCCACTTAAATACCAATAACATAATCTTTATTTAATATACAATTGGTATTTGGTTTCATTTTCATTTTATGTATACAAACTCTTTCAACTTTGTATTTTAACACTGACAGAAAAGAAAAAAAAACTTGTAAATGAATATTAAAATACCCAATATTCTCCAGAACTAAAAGCAGAATTGATAACAATTGTCTTTCAGAAACAAATATATCACACTGTTAGCTGGTGATGGTTGTTTCATTCTTGTTCAGTCCTTAAGAGAAGATTTTTAAATACAGTGATCATTGGATATACAGCAACCATCCCCACTCCCTCAGGGATGGACACTGAGTTGTCCAAGGTCACTGTCAAACTAGGAATTGCTTTTCATTGAGGACACAATTCATACAGGCAGAGTAAAGAGGGGCACAGAGAACACATTCAAACATTATGACAAAATAAATAAGAAAGAACAATAATCCAATAGCTTCCCTCATCAAAATTACTCTTTAAAAGTAAACCCAGTATAAAACAGCAAGGACATTAAGTATTATTTTTAAAATACAAAAAGTTCTTGGTGAGCTATAGCTATAATTAGCTTTAAATAATAGTATTTGAACATACTGCACCTGATCTCAAAATATTCAAATAGTCTCTTAATTCAGCTACATATTATATTTTCCTCTAGAACACAGATAAACCTAATAGCTACTTTTTACAACAGCAGAACAAAGATACTGGAGATTCCTCTTCTAATCTGTATTTTCCAGAATTGGGTAAGTCCTTGCATTCTGATATAAAGGTATGAAGTTCAGTCTCTGGGAATCCATGCTGCTGGTAGTGCTATGCAGAAGAAGGGAAAAGCTCTCATTAGTAAAGCCCTTAAAAACAGCTTTATTCCAAATACAAAATGGACCATTTGATAAGGGCAGGGATTTTCCTAGATGGGCAGTGTAGCTTAGGGAGATGCAGCCTCTGGAGTCACCCTTAGGTTTGGCTGATGTAAAGTAGACCTGGGACTCTGCAGCTGCCTTCCTCAGCTCTGCTCTTCCCAGTCCACTTCAGCCCACAATGAGCATGTGGAGTCTGGCTATGCATCTGTCTCCCTTCTGGAGAGACTCCAGTCAGCCACATATAAAACGTGGGACCCTCTGTCACTGCTGCAGCCCCTTGGCTTCTATGTCTGTGTGAAGGAAGTTTCTTGGATGAAACCCAACTAATATAGATTGGTGGAGGTGTTTTGGGGGGCTGAGGGGTGGACACCCCTGGTCTTCCCCAGATGACCTCAGCACACAGCTTTTGACACTCCTGAGCTGGTACAGGTTTCTGGACAAAGGTCTGAATGCCTTATAAGGCACCTGTGAACCCTATTGGAGTTACTCCTTCAGGCAGACAGGTTTGTTTAAGGGCCACATAAGCATCAAAGTATAGGATATGAGATCTTTAGGATTCCCTCAACAGAAAGGATCCAAAATAACTCCACCATTTTGCAAGTGCTCTGAGCCCAGGGAGAGAGGGTAACATCTGAAATGTTACAATGTATAATGTTACAATGATTAGCTTGTGTCATCAAACTGTTACTCTTAGCCTTCTGGGATGTCACCCTTGAATGACACAGTTCTCTGCACACAGAGTTGAAGATACTGAATTTTAAAAGCCCCATGGGGAGGTATTTGACAGTTACATCTGCAACCTTTCCCAGTCATTTTGGGGGACCAAAGCACACATCTGCCAAACAAGAATCGAAGAGAGCATTTCTTGACCTGAAAGTTGGTCAAGAATGTAGTCATGGCTCAGTCTTCACAAGCAAAGGTGATCATAATTATCAACTCCAAATCAGCCTTCTTTTCATCCCTGGGCCAATCATATTTCCATATTTTCATTCTCAGAAAGAGAAGTCCCCAAGGGGAAGTGTCAACTCCAATAATAGACTTAACAGTATAAAGTTATTAGAAATTTAAATATATAAGGATATTTATTCTACTGTTCCATATTTTAAGGGACTCAATGGATTTTTTAAAATATCCAATATGAATGACAATAGCTTTTAAAATCAAGTTTCTGACTGGATAAAGCACAGAGTACTTGCCATAATCCCTTTGCTGCTCCAGAGGCTGAGTCCCTGGGGGTGTGCCCCAAAGAGCATTGCAAAGAGTAATGGATTCAGTTACAGCACACACCAAATGGAGGGCTCAGTTTTTCTTTATGAAAATAGATTTTTAAAGTTTCCCACACAATTCTGGCTTTCTGCAATTCCAGATATTTTATTCACCCAATACTGATCCTTTTGATTCTAATAAAATGTTAGAAAAGTTGCTTGTGAAAGCACAGTTACTTAAAGATAAGACTGTTAACATTCTGGAAATTCTCCTTTGTTTTCAGTTCTGTTTTTGCCTCTAAATTAAGACCTTCCCTACCCTGAAGAAGTTAACATCCATCAACTTTCTTTGGTCCTAAGTGTTATTGTCACCATACAAAATCTTCAATGTTGGTACATGTCTCTTGGTAAACCTACCTTAATCGTTTCATATGTATCTGTGATCAGCGCAATAAAAAGGCTTAAAATCATGTATATAAAGAGGCTGATGAACGAGTAGAGGTAAATTCTACTAAACATCCAGACCAAGTAACTTTTTTCCTGCATTTTTGCAAATGTGGCAAACATATCATCTCCATTTATCAGGGAGAAAAGGCACTCAGAGACCCTGTTCAGAGAACGGAACTGGAAAAAGAAAAGAGAAAAATTCATTTTCTTTCACATTCCTTCCCATTAGAGACCTGTGTTCAGGATGTTACTTTAAAAATACTGGGACCAGATATTCCAAGTTACCCTTTGCAAACAAATAACCTGAGGTAGTCACAGCATTTGCTTTGTGATGCATATACCACCCACAGACCTACTGCTTTTTTTTTTTTTTTTTTGTCTGGAATAAGTAGCCCTTTTTTGGTGCTCCTCTTAATTGGAGCAATCTGAATGGAAGGCAGAAGTACTAAATCTGTACCCCTGGGCCTTTCTAAGATAAGCCTTCCCCTTCCTCTTTACCTTCATAGAAAGAGACCCTGGCATTCTGCAGAGATGTCTAGATCCCAACCATACATGTGTGTATGTTTCATTTTAAAGCTCATTCCATTTAAGGAAAGATATAATTTTCAAGACTGCACCTCTGGTAACAAAGTTTTCAAATATTGCTACCAGTTTCTCTATATACAACTTAAAAAAAAATAAAGTCACATTTTAAGAAGGCTTAGCCATGTCCTCCTCTGATATATGCTGATGAATCGAATTGACTAAAAATTTGCTGATAGTAGAAAGAACTTAATAATTAACATATTCCAAACAGAATTTGGGACAGTTGAGTGAATCAATGATTTTCTCAAGTTGGTCATACTTTTCTAGTTTATAAATATGGCAACAGATATACTACCTTCCACATGTTAAGGTTGAATCACAAAATAAAAGAAGTTCCTTTAAAAAGGATAAACAAGCCCTTGGCCCCATTCTAAGAGCTTAGTAACAACAACAATAAAAATGTGGTTTATCAGTACCTTGTCATGGTAAGGGCCCAGCACAATCCATCCGCAGAAGCAATAGCCTAAATAAATCATAGCTGCACAGCAGCAAAACCTGATGACATTGGGCAACGCTGCCTGAAGGGTCAGAATAAGGAGCTGGGAAAGTGAGACAAGTCATTAGAATCCCCTTGTTATTGGTCCAAAGCAGAACAATAACTTTGAAACAAATGCCAACGGCATGGCGAATCATGCACTTCCTTACATTGTACTTCTGGAAGAAACCGAGGTACCGGATGACTCCAAGCCACACGAGCAAGGTAGAAGTCCCAAGAAATATGCTACAGACATCATAACTTGTTAGACTCTAAGATGGAGTGAAAAAAAAAATTAGTCAAACAGCAAAGTCATCTGGGCAAGAAATATAGGGTAACTACCAACCAGGGACTATCCAGGGTGCTCAAGATAAAGCAGTAAAAAAACACAAAAAGATTCCCTGCCCTCCTGAGGCTGACATTCTAGATGGAGCAGGGGGAGGCTGGGTGTTCAGAGAGATAGCTGGTGGTAAAGGCTGAGAAGAAAAGTCAGGGAGGGGATGAGGAATGGGGACAGGTTCATAATTTGAAATAGAGTGACCAGGGATGATCTCAATGAAAAGGTAGCACATGAGCAAATATCTGGAAGGAATGAGGAAGCAAGTCAAGCAAAAATCTTGGGGAGGAGATTTCCAGGCAGAGGAACCAACAAGTACAAAGTTCCTGAGGCAGGAGGGAGCCTGGTGAGAGAGGGAGCAACTGATAGAATATGGAGACACAAGGTAAGGATAGCATAGGTCCTCATAGTCAAATGTCTTGCTGTGGTTGACAGCAGATGGTTAGAGGAGGAATGGGGGGGGGGGGCTATTGCAATAACAGCTAAGAACTGGTGATGGCTGAGACCAGGCTGGGAATAGTGGTGGGGGTGAGGTGATTTTTAAAACTAGACCAATATTGTTTCCTCTTGGCTTACATGTGTGAGAGAGGGAATCAGTGAAAGAGGAATTCTTAATGAATCTATGGTTTTTGGCTTGAGCAACTGAAGAGAGTTGACATTAACTGGAATTGGAAAGGCCATGGAAGAGGCAGGTCTGCACTGTGGAGGTGGGGATTCTACTTCTGTTTCAGGTGAGTTAAATTTGGGAGGACAAGTAAACATCCAAGTGGAGATGTGGCATACCCATTTGGATTCTCAGGTCTGGAATCTAGAGAATTCCAAGCTGGAGATATACATTTGGGGAACATTAGCTAATCGATACTAGATGATCTTACCAAGGCCGTGGCAGAAAAGAGAAGGTGCACAAGCACAACACCTTGAAGGTTGGCAAGGCGAAGGAGAACCAGCAAGGGAAAGTCTGAATACCAGTCAGTGACTCAGGAGGAAAGCCAGGTAAGTGACAGCCTTGTGGAAAAGTGCCACCAAAGACAGAATGATCAACAGTGTTAAAAGTTGCTGACACATCAAGATGGGGATAAATAATTGATTCATGGACTTAGCAACATGGGAGATCACTGGAAGAAAGACTCCACAGAGTGGCAGGGCAGCCTGATCAGAATAGATATAAGGAGAAAGGGAAGGAAAGAACCACAGCAATGAGATAACTACTTTTTTTGAGGACCTTTGCTATAAAAAGGGAATCTGAGAAATGGGGCAGAAGCTGGAATAGAGAAATAAAGCTGAGATTTTATCCCTCTGAAAGGAGAAACATGCTAGGGGATGACTACCTGGGCGGGAGAGGGAAATTGATGATTCAGAGAGAAGGGAGATTAGCTGGAGCTGTGTTCTTGAGTAAGTGAGTGGGGAGGGCACCTATAAGTCACAGTAAAGAGGAAAAAACAGAAGGTATGGGCGCTCATGCTTATAGGTAGGTAAGGGATGTGGGAGTTTGCCAAAGTTCTGTTTTGTTTTCCCCTCTTGGTCTTGTAAAATAAGAAGTAAGGTTATCAGCTGAGAGTGAGGATGGGGTCAGAGGTTTCAGAAGAGAAGGAATGATCATCTGTGAGACAGGAGGAATGAATAGTCTAGGAAAATGGAGAAAATTTATTGGACACCAATAAGGACTCATGGAGATAAGTGATCATTGAGTTTGGTAAAAATAAAAATATACTGCAAATCTACCACTCCTTCTTCTTTCTTTCTTTTTTATTTACTTCCTAAGCACATGCCCCAGGATCCCTTGCAGTACAGTTTGACTGGGTTGTCTCCAGTAAGATATGAAAAGAAATGAGGTCTACTACCCTTGAACCAGGGTTATAAAACAGGGGAAAGTTTCCACCATTACCTTGGTGTATGTATATTTAGGGATAGTTTCACTTCCCAGAGGCCACCCATTTGTGAGGTGACCCAGTGTGGATCATATAGTCAGGCTGAGCCTTAGGGATGGCAAAACAAACAAACAAACAAACAAACAAACAAACAGGAGGAACTTGGGTCCCTGAAAGACAGCAGGGAGCTGAGCTACTTGCCATCCTAGAATACCCACCCTGACTATTACTAAGAGAGAAATAAGCTCCTCTTTGATCTGAGCCATTGCGTTTGTGGTCTCTGCCCAGGCTCATCACTGGCTCCCTTTGTGACTCAAGAGTCATAATTAGTTGCACCAAGGCTAGAAAAATGTAAGATTGAGCAAGACTATTTTGAACAATATTAGTTTTTTAATTTGGTTTTTATTTGGGGGGAAGAATTTCTTTCATAGCTAGGTGAATCATAACTTAAAAAGGATAATCTTGGAGCACATCAATGGGAAAAGCAAGTAAATGAGAGTATTTTCTGAATAATAAGAAACAAACGCAAGCACCATACCATAGTACCTTGATCTTACTTTTCCCTCTAACCCATTATTTTTTATGTTGAGGATTTTAATATGTCTTTTAAGATTTTTTTAAACTCTCACCAATATTATCTTGGTGTGTGTATGAATTTTGTTGTGTTTAAGAATTTACAGACCCCACCTGAAGAGTTCAGATTCAGAAGGTCCAACAGGGCATTTTTACTGGGCATCCATAATTTTGACACAGTGGCTTATGGAGTATACTCCAAAAACATCTGCCTAAGAGACTTCCTGACTAGACTAAATAAAATTACTGTTATCAATTTCAACTTTACTCAACATAAAGCTTGGAAGAAATTATTGCCCAGCCTAGTGGTACCATCTGTAATCCCAGCAGCTGGGGAAGCTGAGGAGGGAGAATCAAAATTCAAAGCCACCCTGAGCAACTTATCGAGGCCCTAAGCAACTCAGCAAGACCCTATTTCTAAATAAAGTATTTTTAAAAGGCTGGGGATGTGGCTCAGTGGCTAAACACCCCTGGGTTCAATCCCTGGTACCAAAAAATACAGAGAGAGAGAGAGAGGGTGGGGGAGGGAGAGAGAGAGAATGAATTCTCACATTCTGCAAAAATATATTATCATTAATCCAAATCAGATACTAATGATGGAAATGTTACAAATCATTAGGAAAAATATTTACCTTAGCTTGGATTTCCATTTTCAGAATTGATCCAATGATTGTCAGCATGTCACTAATGATAATCATAATGTACCATCCATTGACAAATTCCATTTGATCAGAAACAGAAACTTCCTTCTTATAATGGAAGAGGAAAAAATTGACAAATTCCTTTAGAGGAAAGAAGAGAGGTACAGTGAATTTCCCTCTCTATCAAAATGCCATCTGCATTCCCAGAAAACATCAGCTCCTACCTGTTGAAGCTGAAGTCCTCTAACCACAGACCTGAAGCAGAGGAGTAACGAAGACAAGCAAGTCAGAATGACAGCAGCATCAAAGATCATCATGTAATGAGTGTTCTTCTGAACTAGAAGCAAAGAGCATACATAGTTTGTATGTGGTAAGACATTAATATGGTGGCATCTACTTCTTTTTCAGAATAATTCAGAAAATTCCAACTTTCTTTCCAGAAAGACAACAAAGAAAAGAAGACCTGACATTCTTCCAACCAGCATTTAACTAAGATTGAAAGCCCTTCTTTTGAAAATCACCATGGCCATCAATCAAATAAAATTATCAGCTTGTGATCTTTTGTTCTAAATAGAATTATCCTTCCCTCACCGCCTATTAACAGCTATTTTTCTGGGTGTAAATATTCCTTAAGTACCCACTATTCATTTGCCATTTTAGAGTTTGGGACACAGTAACAGACAAGATAGACAAGACTCCTGGTTTTCTGGAATTTCTGTTGTACTGCAGTGAGACAAGTTAAGAAGTAAATAAGTACATGGACAAAATACTTTCAGATAGAAGTCAGGGATATAGACCAAATAAATCACAATAGCTGATATGTAATGAGCACATTTCTTGACATAGCACCAAGTCCTTTATATGTTTATTTATTTTGTTTGTTTGTTTGTTTTGTTCTGTTTTGTTTTTGTGGTGCTGGGGATTGAACCCAGGGCCTTGTGCAAGTTACATAATTTGCCCAAGGTGATGTAAGTAGCAAAGTCAGGGTTTAAACCTCTGTCGGCTGTTTCCAGCACCTGTCATTCTATATTGTTAGTTCTTATCATCCCTAGGGGACTTGTTAGAAATGCACCTCAGAAACTCTATGGGTCTTCACATCCTCTAGGTGATGCTAATATTTGAGAACCACTGTAGTGTGTGGAGCGGTTGGGGTGGGAAAGTGGGGAGGAGTTCTGTGTATATTGCATAGTAAGAAGTCTCACCTAGGGGGCAGTAAGTTTTAGCTGATACCTGAGTGATAAGAAAGGGTCACCCACTCAGAGCTTTTGGAGAATCAAAAGTACAAAGTTGCTAGACATGGTGACATATGCCTGTAATCCCAGTGACTCAGGAGATTAAGTCAGGAGGATCAAAAGGCCAGCCTGTGCATCTCAGCAAGACTCTTTCTTGAAAAAATAAAAAGGGCTTGGAAGGTAACTCAGTGGTAGAGTGCTTGCCTACCATGTGTGAGGCCTTGGATTCAGTCCTTAGTATCATAAAAGAAAAAGTTTAGAATCTGGCTACATGGGTAGAGTCAATGAAGAAAGATGGACAAAGGCCTCAGCTCTGCTACAGAACTTATTTCTAGCCAGTTAGACTGCTCTATACAGATATAAAGGTAAAGTACTTAAGACTAGTTCTGTCCTGAAGCATCCTATTTGCCAAGGGGCACCTAAGGGCTACACAATGGCTACATCTACATTAGAAAAACTTCAAAACCAAGAAACAAACATTGAGAGGAAGCCTGTGTGCCAGGAATAGTATTTCATATCCTCTAATTTTCCCTAAAGTTTGTGGGAAAAAGCATTATGGTGTTACAGATGACAAAACAGGTTTGTCTTTGAAATAAACAAGTTTGTGATTGAAATAAACTTTGTGATTCAAGAGCCTCATATATTCAAAGTTGCCTGTCAGTGCAAAAAAAAACCTACAATGCAGAAATTTCTTTTCATTTACTCATATTATATCATTATTTCATTATTACTTTTGAACTTGGTAAATCAATTAGTAGGAACCCCTAAAACAGTAATTATCCAAATACTGTCTGAGCAAGGATTACTACCCATTCCTGGGTGCAGATACCGGCCATGATCCCTTTTCTCAATGGAATCCAAGAACCCCTGACCTAATTATTAAGCACCCATTGTTATTGATGAGGGATAGATAAAATGTATAGATCTAATTTGGATCTAAAATCTAATGGATAGATAATCTATCCATAAAATAGACAGATAAATTCTTTCCAGGCAGTTTTCTCAAGTCCTTAGTCTCCAGCTGCAAAATTCTTGACAGTATTCAGTATAGACCTGGATTCTAAGAGTAGACCCTTTTCTCCTTTAGTCTACTTTTTAACCTGGATGGAAGACAATTATAACATGTGGGATGCTTCAGGGTAAAATCATACCTGACTTCTCCCTGGCTGCATGACCATAGACACTATGCATAACTTCTGAGCCTTGGTTTCTTCCTCTGTAAACAAGGATTCAGCCTCTCACAAAGATATTTTAAAATATTAAAAGGAGAAAAATGAAGATAGAAATATGCAATATGCATTCAATAAATATCGATTTGGTACATGTAGATTATAGCGGGGTCTATGAGTATGTTCTTGGTAAGGAGTAGGCAAGCAAGGACACGTGGACAATGGAAGGAGTCATTTCAATACTAATAATTTACATATTACCTGAAATATCAGGTATCTACTGATACTGCAGAGAACTGGGGACTTGGGAATCTTTTAATTGGTGCTCCACACATCTTTTGGGCAGTGATTTAATAATCATTTTACTTTTTTTTTTTTTAGTAAGCATTCCAAAAATGAGTAGAACTTATCACTTACTTGATCCAGATACATGCCAGTCTTTACATTCCCGGATGGAAATGTCATTATCTAAACTTATCTTAATTCTTCCACTATGAGCTTTGTTGTCAAATGTTATCTGTGAAGAAATAAAAAAGGTCAAAGACATATGTACAGTTTTTGAAGCTAAAATACCACGATGTACTGATTGAGAAGCAATTCTTTTGGTACAGGAGATCCAGATTCCCATCTCCAACCTATTGCTACCTCTATTCAACCTTGGGAAGTTTTCTTTATTTCTCTGTGAATTGAGAAGATTGTAGGAGTCTTCTGTAGAGAACTTTTAGTCTCCAAAACCCTGTGTTTCTAGGACAGCACTCCACCCCTGCACACCTTCTATAACAAGAGTACCTACTCCGTCTACGGGTTCTAAGTCCCTCCAGACACCCTCTTGATGTGGTAAGAGCTGGTGCTGCTATGTTTTACCCTAACTTCCAGCAGGGCCTCAGCTGGGGGTAGATTTTCAGTGCTCCTGCAAGTTTTACTAACACAGGCGCTCATTCTGTCTTGACACATTTCAGGTGGAGCTTTCAAAATGTTCATTCTGGGCCTAGATTGTGTGGTCACTCTAGCTTCACATATATTATAAAGGGCTTGGTGACAGTAAGTCGCCAGCCATGTCTTGCTTCTGGGATAACCAGTAAAACACAGGGCAACAAGCAGAGTGAAGCTATGCTGAAATGCCCCCCACAGGCCTCCTGCTGTCTTCCCCTTCTAGCTGCCTCCCTCTTCCATGCAGGGAAAGGGAAGACAAGGCAAGAAAATCAATCCTTGCCCCACAGCACCCCACTGCCCCTCACCTCCCCTCTCTTCTTCTCTCCCTCTCAAATCCAGAAGCAGTTTTGTTGAAAGTCTGTAATTTGAATAATTTTATTGAAGCTTCTTCATGTGAGGCAGTCAGATTCACTTCAGATATGAGATTTCAAATGGGTTTAGAATCTTGTCACTCTGTTTGTCATGATGAATTACAAGCTTCTTTCCTCACAAGTAACAGAGAGCACTGTCATTGACTGTTCTTCACAGTGGCTAGAAGACCCAGAACAGCCTCATGCAATAAAAATGCTCAGTATTATGTGGCAGAGTCAGAAATCCTTGCCAAGGAGAAAATGTTTTGTTTGAAGAGCATTAGAATCTTATGAATAATAGGTGCTCATTAAATATCTGGAATGAGTAAACCATGATTTAATGTCAATCGCATCTCAAATAAGGTTCAGAAGAAGCTGAATGCCTCATACAAAAAAGAAAAATATATTGGATAGAATTAGAAAAAATTAAAAAGCACAGGGGAAAAAATTGGTAAATTTGAAAACACAGCAATAAACACCATCCAAAATGAAAAACACAGAGAATAAATATTGAAACATGAAACAAATAAGCAGAACATTAGCAAAGCTATGGGACAACTTTGAGTGACCAAATATACATGTAATTGAATTCTCTAAAAGGTGAGGAGAAAATGACAGAAAAATATGGAAAGAAATCATGACAAATAAATATCAAATGCAATAAAAACTACAAATCACCAACCAAAGATGCTCAATGAACCTCAAACATAGGAAACATGAATAAAATAACCTCAAGGCATTTCACAGCCAAATTGCTTAAATTAAAAAATAAAGAGACAATGTTAAAAAGAGTCAGGGGGAAAACACATCCTGGTCAGAGAAACAAAGATAAGGATGACAGCAGATTTCTCATCAGAAACAGTATAAGATAGAAGAGTTATATCTTTAAAGTACCATGGAGGGGACGGACAAGATATCTATATCCAAACTGTATTTTAAAATAAAGTCAAATTACTTATTCAGATGTAAAGCTGAAAGAATTCATCATTGGCTGACCTGGACTGTAAGAAATGTTAAGGGAGGTTGGGGTTGTGGCTCAGTGGTAGAGTGCTTGCCTAGCCCGAGTGAGGCATTGGGTTCAATCCTTAGCACCACATTAAAAAAAAAAAAAAAAAAAACTAAATAAACAAAATAAAGGTATTGTGTCCATCTACAACTAAAGATATTTTTTAAAAGAGAAAGAAATGTTAAAGAAAGCCCTTTGTCAGAAGGAAAATGATACCAAATGCAAAACTGTTCTACAAACAAGAATGGAGTACACTGGAAATGGTAGGTACATAAGAAATATACAGATACTTTTCTTATCATTTTAATCATTTTTTTAAATAATTGGCTGTTTAAAGAAAAATAATAATAAGGTATAACCAAAGAGTAACAGGTGAGTGATCTGATAAACTCACATGACAGCATCGTGTGCTTTCTACAGAGCTTTATAACTCCATAACACATACAGAAATAAATTGTTGTATGAGTTTGTCAAGATGAACCCAACTACCATGTACAACCCTTAAGCTCTAATTTTAAAAAAGGAAAGAAAGAAATTGTGTGACAACAATAACATAAAAACTAAGATGAGAGATGTGCAATCATGGTTATAAGGTTCTAAAACTACTATTCATGCAGTAAAGTAGCATCACTGGAAGGTAGATTTTAGAGATGTATACTATAAGCCCCAGGATAAAACATCAAAGACGTATAACTAAAATGAGAAATGAAATAATAAAAAATACTTAATCAAAAAGGGCAGAGGGCTGGGGATGTAGCTCACTGGTAGAGTGCCTGCCTAGTATGTGTGAGGCACTGGGTTCGATCCTCAGCATCATATAAAAACAAACAAATAAAATAAAGGCATTCTGTCCATCTACAACTACAGAAAAAAAAATTAAAGAGGGCAGAAAAAAAGGGAAACCATTAATAACCACAAAAAAATAAATGTCCTAAGCATGCTAATGAAAAGAGATTGTAAGACTGGATAAAACAGGATGACCCAATTTTATGCCTAACCAGAAACCCACTTTAAATAAAAAGACACAAATAGACTAATATTAAAAAGATAAAAAAGATTTAGCATGTTAACACTAATCAAAAGAAAGCTGAAGAGTAAAGAATGTTATCAGGGTTAAAAACTACTGTTTCATAATGATGAAAGAACTAATTCTTCAAGAGAATATAAGAATCCTAGATATTTATTCCTCTAATAAAGATCTTCAAAGTACATGATGCACAAATCATTAAAGTACTATGCATGATTGAAAATGCGCTGTTTTTTTTTTCCTTTATAAATCTAACTGGGGGCACCCACACAAAGGTTTAAAAATAGCTGTTGAAGGTCAAGAGCGGTAGCCCCGTGGTAGAGTCCTTCACCTCACATGGACAAAGCCCTCTGTTGAAACTCCAGCACCACAAAAAAACAAAGGCAACAAACACGGAAAACCAAGAAGAGTAGTTGTTTTCTAGTACATAACAAATACTTAAGTCAGTCCTGTATATATATTATCTCACATCTTGGTGATAATCTTGTCAGTCAGGCAGACATTGATTTTTGTTTTATAGATGAGAAAACTGAGGTGCAAACCACATAAGTAATTTGCCTAACATTAGATAGCTACTAACTGGTGAGCTGAAATTAGACTTATCTAACTCCAGATCCCCTACATTTTGTATCAGATATATGCTGTGTAGTCCATGTTTCCTTCCAAGGATACAGGTGCATTAATGGATTTTATGATTAAATCACTTCATAGGACACAAGCTCTACTGCAGTTCTGTGAGATACAATGCTAAATTCACCATAAAGAGGCATAGCTTAGGATGATCCACCAATAATGTTGAAAATAAAATAAATCTGCCTGTGGCTAAAACACCAGTTTGCTGATACCACTGAACTGGGCCACTGACAAGGGTCCAGATCTCATAAATATTTCATTTACCTGTCCCACAAATATTTTTGTCACCTTTATTTTTGCTGAGGGATCACAACATTAACAAAATGGTTCCTGACTTCAAGGGGCTTTCTACCAGCAGGTAGGGGGGTGAACAAAAGAGGAAGCCCACAAAACACCTAGGAGTTCACTGTGTAGAATGTATTTCTAACCAAGGAATCACAGAGAAGTCCATGAAGAAGGTAGAAAAATTAGAAAACACCTGAAAATTGTCATTTCTTGAACCCAAGAGAGAAAGAATAAAGAGAGGAGATTGTGGATGATAGCTGAAGTTTAAGAAATCAAGTAACACTGATAGTTCATAACTTGCTGATAATATTAGGATCAAAATATGTAGCCTAATTCTAACTAGTCTTATGGTTTTAGTGCTTTTTCTTGTTAAATGTTCTGTATAACTATTACATTACATTATATGCTAGATTTTTTTTCTAACCTCAATCTCTGAAAACTTGTGTTTTTTTTTACAATTAGCTGACTATCAGAAGCATAGCTTTTGATTAAAACGACCATTGAAGTAACAAAAATCTGGATCATATGAAGCCAAGTTGTTTCAAACGCTCTTCTGCTATGACCAAACAGTAGCAGGTGAGTGATCTGATCTTGTGAGCTGTTAAAATCACATGAGAGCATCTCTTGCTTGCTAGAGAGCTTTACAGCTCCACCTGCAACTGGAATGCAGACAACATAGAAGTGATGGGGTGGGCGGAAGGAGGAGAGACATTCAGAGCATTCAGAGGCAATGTGAGAAAGCCACTGTGAGCAATAACCCGAAGGCTAAACCATCCACAATGAGGAAACTCAGTAGGGAACCCTGGACTCACAACCACACACCTCTGCTCCTTTCATGTATGAAAATCAACTCTGCGCCGGACACTATTCTTGGTACTGGAGATAAGACAAGCCCCTGCTGTTACAGAATTTCTCAAGTAGATAATTTATAGCAAAATAGAGCTAGCTGTATCCATACCCCACTTACAAACATTCATGTGGAAATATTTTGTCATTTTGATCTTGCCTCAATACAAGTATGTGAAGCATATAACTAGATAAAATGATTTTTTTTTCCTCCAGATTGGAACCGAATTCAGTGCACCTCACACTTACAGTCAGAGTAAAATCATAGCAGTCAGGGAGCTCCTGATGACGAACTGTCTGCAGGTTAATGGCTTTCAGTTTAAACTGAAGCTCCACTGTCACCAGTCTAGAAAAGAGAGGAGGCATTGGCTCAGCGGCAGCACACACACAAACAAACACAAGTTACGTTCCTGTCTGTTTCCCTTACCTGTGGAAGTCCAGCGTGAAGTTGAGTTTATTTTCTTCTGATGTTCCAATATGAAAAGCCTCACCCGGTTCTACAAAGAAACATTCTGCCACAGAAAGAAACAAAAACATGATGTAGTGTCTAAAACAGAAAAATAAAACTGCATTTTGAAAGGATAGCACATTTAAGATCAGTTATTCAGAGCCTCATGTTTTTCTGAAATAAGATTTTGGAAGCTAGACATCAATACCACTTGGTTACAGGGCCTCCTGTGTTTTTAAGACACGAGAGACCACAGCACTTCTGGGTTGGTTGGGAGATGGAGACTCTAGCTCCTCCTTAGAATGCCCTCTTGCTTCCTTGTCTTTTTAAGCCTAACTCTGAGTGCCTCTCACTTCCTTTTGGTATCCTAAACACAGGATTTGAAGCATTTGCAGTGCTTAAGATTTTCTAAATGGTTTAAATGCCTTGTTTTTAAAAATATTATGTGTTGACAATTTTTTCTCTATAAGCAATTTTTTAATAAAGAAAAGCATTTTAGCCAGGTTTGGTGGTGTGGCACACACCTATAATCCTAGCAGCTCGGGAGGCTGAGGCAGGAGGCTTGTGAGTTCAAAGCCAACTTTAGCAACAGCGAAGGGTTAGAAACTCAGAGAGACCCTTTATCTAAATAGAATACAAAATAGGGCTGGGGATGTGGCACAGTGGTTGAGTGCTCCTGAGTCCAGTTCCCAGTACCAAAAAAAGAAAAGCAGCATTTTAGAAAAATTTCACTAGTTGCTACCATTGTCCTTTACTATCCCTCTTAATACAATACATAAAGAGTTTGTGAGCCCATGATGTGTCGTAGACATACTACTCATCTCTTTAATTGACTTTTGGGCATGAGAGGTGGTGTAGTATAGTGTCCAAGCACAGACAGCCTGGGCCAACTTTCAGTGCTGCCTCTTACTAGCTCCATCCTGAGCAGAGCTCTTAACTCTCTGAGCCATACTTCAACCTTCTATGGGGGATGATAATAAACCTTGCTTTATCTGGGTTTCTGTGAGGATTCATGAGTTGTAGTAAAGGCTTAGAACAGAAGCTGACACAATGACTTCCGTATAATTCTTACTATGCCCTAATAGTGACCATATCAATGTTTTCAGAGATGAAATAAATGATTTTAGGTACAAAGCAAAGAGTTAAAAACTAAACTTCCAGCTTATAGATGAACATCACCTGTTTCAATTTCGGGATCAATGTCAAAAGTGTCATTTCCAGGACAGATGCTTCCTTGCTTGTAGAAATGCTGACAGATTGCCATAGCAGACTGCTTGGTCCCCTTGTTTTCATAAGCATGATTCCCAACTGAAATGTTGCGCAGCTCCAAGTACTGCGACCAAAAAGAAATAGAAAGTGGCATGCCAGCCAGGGCAGAGGTGAGCCATGATGTCCCTCCCTCCCCAGCTCTGGCAGGTTCCCACCTCCCCTCAGGGCAGAGATACTAATATGCAGAGTAAGTGACTTTCTGCTGAGCACCTGGAAGGCTAAGGGCAAAGAGCACCCTTGAACTTGAATTCTGGTTTCAAGACTTATCTCTGTCTGTCACACATTTTCTGAGCTCTGGTTCCTTATCTGCAAAACTAAAGCCTGAAACCACACCATCTTTGAGGTTCTTTCCTTCCTTAAAGAACTATGTCCAGAGACTGATTGTTACAGTCAGTGTGAGTAAAAATGTTGTTTATCTTTGAAATATTTCCTACAAGATCAGAGTTCTACTTACAACTATAATAGAAATGGGATACACTTGTTCCAGGCTCACCATTTAAACTTTTTCTTTTAAAAAAACGGAACTCAATTTTTATAATACAGTTTAATCACTTTCTTGGAAATGTTTCCCTTGTTTCAGTGAGTCCTCTAAATAAAACAAAAGAATACTTTTACAAATAAGAATCCTATGGTACCTTGAAATAATTGCCAATGTACACCTGATGGATTTCTGTAGACGGTTCCAGAGCTTACCCTGAGCAATACGTTTAGCACAATTGGTGATATAAAGATAGGTATGTGATACCTGTCTCTCCTGGAATTAACAATTTTGTATGATGGACACAGAACAATAATTCTACAAAAGATGCATGGGAAACATGCCTTGATAAATGAAGGAAATAATTTATAATATGGGCCTATGCGGTACATTCCAAGCTGGGCCTTGCCAAGGTCACCAATGAGCAACATGTTACCAAATCTATGGTAGTTCTTCATCCTCATCTAACTTCACTCCTCCATTGTGTTTGATGTGAGATGAGTGTGTGGTTGGAAGGCAGTACCCTGGGGAACTTCTGAAGACACTGCAAAGGGCACTTAAGTGGCTGTGACCTCTGTGGGGCTTTAATCAGGCTGGATATCTGTCCCTCTGGCCTCTGCAGCCTTGAGAGGAAATTATTACTCAGATGCAAGATCCCAAATCATCCTTTGGATGATAATATACAAACATAATTAAAAGCTGAGTAGTGATGTGGCACCAAAAGCAAAGAAAATTAAAACTGATTGCTCCTGATTATAGAATGCTTGTTTGTGGCCCTTCTATGATCTCCAGATCCAACCACCTATAATGAGTCTTATGAGCTCATTCGCAAACATCTGAGCTCCTGTTCTATAACTCTCCTTTTGTGGAATAAAACCACAAAAGAATAAAAACACAATTCTTTGTTGCTGCACACTGCTTATGGAGCTATAGACATATTTATAAAGATAGTCTATATGTTTCTATCTTTAAATCTATATCATGGGAAATATTATGCAATAAGGTCTCTGATTCTAGGTGAATTCTTTAGAAAATAACCAAGAAATGGTAGAGCAGGTGAGTGGGGAAAAAAAGGGAGGCGAACCAGACACAGGAATTTATACAGTATGAGTTAAAAGAATAAAAGATTCCAAGAAGAACTTAAGGCCTTTACACATAAGCAACTGGCCAAAAAGAGGCAGCAGTCTGGGGAGCAGGTGGAAGAGAACTCAAAGCTGCTGTGGACTGGCAGCTCTGAGGAGCAGCACAAAGCACAGTGAGCAGCGGATTGGGAGTCACCTCATCCTCGCGCTGGCCAAAAGCTGGTAGTGTGTGTGGGGGGAATTTCTTCAGGAAAAAGACAAATCTTTGAGAATTGTCCAAATTTAAGGGGCAGATGAAAGAAAAGGAGTCAGTGAAGATGACTCAAAAATGACTGAGGAAGTAAGATGAAAGTCAGGACCTAGCATTAAAACAAAATAACTAGGTCTTTGACACTCAAATGTAGATGCACAGGTAAAACATGAAAAGCATAGTAAAATGTGAAACTGTTAAAATTGCAATATTTGATCAGAATGAGCCCTGATGGTTATCCAGCTAGATGCCATCTGATGTCTAAGCTCTTTAGCATGAACCATTTCCAACTCCACAGATACATGTGGAATAACTCATCTCTTAATCATAAAAATTCTATTTGTTCATAAAAATAGATAGTATTCATCCTCAGCTAAAACTGAGTGCTTGGAAGATAGTTGGGACTCACCTGCCCAAAGAAAATCACCATGGTTAGTATTATTTATTTACATACTAGTGCAGTGGTTTGAATGTAGTATGATCCTCCCAAATTCTTATGTTAGAAATTAAACCACAATATGATAATACTAAGAGGTGAGACTTTTAGGAGGTGATTAGGAAAGAGAAGCCCCTATGAATGGGATTGAGAACATTATAAAAGGACTAAAAGTAAGATAGGTCCTTTAGCCCTTCCACCATGTGAGAACACAGCCTGCAGATGCCTTGGTCTTAGATTTTCTAGCCTAAGAACTGTAAGAAATGGATTTCTGTTGTCTATAAGTTACCCAGTCTCAGGTATTTTATTGTAGTATCAAGAATAGACCAACTAGGATGCAACTAGGATAAAGAATCTATATTGATTTTTACATTTAAAGAATATGGAGATCTGATAAGCAGAATGACCCGAATGCCAAATATTGTATTTTAAAGATTGATTTTAGGCCTGTCAATAATAGCGAAGATGTTTTGTAAAGAATTTTAATGGACTGTTTATCTCTTGCCTCTAATTAACACACTTCCCCCCCCCAAAAAAAAAAAAAACTTACTAATTTCGTGCTGAGTACCTTAGAGAAATTTAATACACTTAAAATGAAAAATCTCAAAATCAAGTCTCTTCAAAATACAGCGCCATTTCTTATTCAAAACACTAGAAATAGTAGAAACATACGTCAATTTTGTAAAAGCTATATATGCTAAACCCAAGGCCAATATCATTCTAAATGGAGTAAAATGGAAGCATTCTCTCTGAAAACTGGAACAAGACAGGGATGCCCTCTTTCACCACTTCTATTCAAACATAGTCCTTGAAACTCTAGCCAGAGCAATTAGACAGATGAAAGAAATTCAAAGGGTACAAATAGGAAAAGAAGAATCAAACTATCACTCTTTGCTGATTCTATACTTAAGAAGACAAAAAAAAAAAAAAAAAAAAAAAAAAACAAAAAAAAAACCCACCAGAAAACTTCTAGAATTATAAATGAATTCAGCAAAGTAGCAGGATATATAAAATCAACACCCATAAATCAAATGCAATTTCTCCTCTGAAAGAGAAATTAGGAAAACTACCTCATTCACAATAGCCTCAAAATAAAATAAAATAAAATTCTTGGGAATCAACTTAACAAAAGAGGTGAAAGACCTCTACAATGAAAACTACAGAACACTAAAGAAAGAAATTGAAGAAGACCTTAGAAAATGGAAAGATTTCCCATGCTCTTCGATAGGCAGAATTAATATTGTCAAAATGGCCATACTACCCAAAGTGCTATACAGATTCAATGTGATTCCAATTATAATTCCAATGTCATTCATTATAGAAATAGAAAAATCAATCATGAAATTCATTTGGAAAACTAAGAGACCAGAATAGCCAAAATGATCCTTAGCAAGAAGAATGAAGCAGGAAGGATCACAATACCAGACCTTAAACTATACTCCAAAGCGATAGTAACAAAAATGGCATGGTATTGGCACCAAAACAGACATGTAGACCAATGGTACAGAATAGAAAACACAGAGACAAACCCACATAAATACAGTTATCTCACACTAGACAAAGGAGCTGAAAACATACATTGGCAAAAAGATAACCTCTTCAACAAATGGTGCTGGGAGAACTGAAAATCCATCTGCAGCAAAATGAAATTAAACCCTTACCTCTCACCACACACAAAACTCAACTCAAAGTGGATCAAGGACCTAGAAATTAGACCAGAGACCCTGTGTCTAATAGAGGGAAAAAGTAGGCCCAACTCTTCATCACATCAGATTAGGCCCCGACTTCCTTAACAAGACTCCCAAAACACAAGAAATAAAATCAAGAATTAATAAATGGGATAGATTCAAACTAAGAAGCTTCTTCTCAGCAAAAGAAACAATCAATGAGGTGAAGAGAGAGCCTACATCTTGGGAACAAATTTTTGCCACACTCATGTCAGATAGAGCACTAATCTTCAGGATATATAAAGAACTCAAAAAGCTTAACACCAAAAAAAAAAAAAAAAACCAATCAATAAATAGGCTAAGGAGCTGGACAGATACTTATCAGAAGAAGATATACAATCAATCAACAAATGTATATGAAAACATGTTCAACATCTCTAGCAATTAGAGAAATGCAAATCAAAACTACTCTAAGATTTCATCTCACTCCAGTCAGAATGGCAGTTATCAATAATACAAACAAAAATAAGTGTTGGCAAGGATGTGGGGAGAAAAGGCACACTCATACACTGCTGGTGGGATTGCAAATTGGTGCAGCCAATCTAGAAAGCAGTATGGAGATTCCTTAGAAAACTTGGAATGGAACCACCATTTGACCCAGCTATCGCACTCCTTGGTCTATACCCAAAGGACTTAAAACCAGCATACTTATAGCAGCACAATTCACAATTGCTAAACTGTAGAAGCAACCTACATGTCCTTCAATAGATGAATGGATAAAGAATATGTGGCATGTATACATAATGGAATATTACTCAACATTATAAGAGAATAAAATTATAGCATTTGCAGGTAAATGGATGGAGTAAGAGAATGTCATGCTAAGTGGAGTTAGCCAATCCCCATAAAACCAAAGGTTGAATGGTCCCTCTGATAAGTGGATGCCGATTCCAAATGGACAGAGGCATGAGAAAAATGGAGGAACTTTGAATTGAGCAGAGGGGAGGGAGAGGAGGGGGGTAGGTATTGGGGCAGGTGGAAGATGGTGGAATGTGATGGACATTATTACCCTAGGTACATGTATGACTGCACATATGGTGCAACACTACATCGTATAAAATCAGAGAAATAAAAAGTTGTGCTGCAATTGTGTACAATGAATAAATATGTGTTCTGCTATAATATATAACTAATTAAAATAAATAAATAAAAAGAGAAATGGAAAAAAACTAATCGCTTGAGCATTATGCTATTTCTTCCCTACAAATTGTAGGACGTAATTTTGTTTAACAATTTATGCAACTTATTTCTATCACTAATTTTTCTACTCCCAATGCTAACCAAAATCTTAATGCCATAAAGACGTATTTTATTCTAACAATTTTTCATCACAGTGCATAGATTGTCTCTAGAAAATGAAGAGTCACAATCACACTAAAATTATGTTTTGAAGAAGAGTTGTAATAATTATGAAACATTGCTATAAACTAACCCAGGTTGGAAATACCAACTTCAAGAACACTTTCAGCTACAAAATAAGATACTTGGGATCTCGCTAAAGTACTATTTCTAGAAAAAAAAAATGATTAGAGACTCACCAGTATCAAAAACAATTTTATTTTTTGTTTGACAGGTAGTCGATAGCACAATAAAATCATTGTAATATATGACATTAAAGCCTTACTTTATTTTAAATGAACTTTCAGATCTTGATTGCTATATAAACTCTGCAAAGTTAATAATCTCACTATTTGTTGAGGCCCTCTGCAAACAGGAGCTCTGAAGACTTAATGAAAACTTTAATCAGGCTCATGGTTAATCATTTAAAATCTTTGAAGTTCCCATGCCAAGCCCTATCTCTGAAGCTTTTAATTAAGTCGTTAAAGTATCTATTTCTATTAGTGCTAAACAAAAGCTTTTCTCAAATTCTAGTTTCATAAATGTTTATTGGCAATGCTTTTTAAAAGACAATTTTAAAATGACCTTATACATAAGACATTTCCACATGAAACTATTCCCATTCTGTCCTTAAGGGTCAGTTTCTATGATGTATATGGCTACCATTTTCCCAGTCTGTTCCTTTCCCTCATTGACTTACCCGGTTCATTGCAAAGACGATCTGATCATACACATCATTTTGTGTGTACACTGCATACGTGTCATCCATTCGGTCCATATAGCCTTTTAGGAAGAGGTGTTTGAATGCTATAGTGTTCTCTTCTTTAAAAGCTACCACCATCTGGTTACTTAGTCCAAAAAGGACCAGCTTAAAAGAAAAAAGAAACAGTAAGCAGGGGAAAAATCTGAATAGAAAAAGTGGAGGCAGATAGTACAGCGGCTTGAACAGCAAACGAGAGTTTCCATGAATTCCATAGGATACCAAGGAGGTTTGCAGCTGCTGGATACTGCATGGTAAGAAAGTCCAAGTCCCATGGCCAAACTATATTCCTAGGCTTCATTTCCAAAATGGTGACAATAAGACTAATATTTAAAAATATCCTTTCAACTCATCTCTAAGTTAAAGTATATTAATATAATGTGTTCTTAATATTTAGGCAGGATTGACTCCAGAGTTTCACATGAAACTCAATTGTTCACACACAAAAATCTGTTTCACTGCTCTGCTGCCATAGTAACAGAAACTCTTTCAATCATACCCCAAAGCTTGCTTTACTCTTTCATCTTTTCTTCTCTCCCAAATTATTTCAATATCTACTCTATTCTCCCTCTCCCCTAGGCTCCCCATTTAGAAAGTGTACTCTGAGCCAGCATAGTGGCATGTTCTATAATCAAAGCAACTCAGGAGGCTGAGGAAGGAAGATCAAAAGTTCATGGCCAGCCTCAGTAACTTAGCAACCTGTCTGAAAGGACTGGGGATGTGTGGCTCAGTAAAGCACCCCTGGTTCAATCTTCAGTATCAAAAAAAGACTTAGATCCCAAGGTGAGTCAGGGAATATTTTATATGAAAGGGGGAGCAACACTGAGCACCTATAAAATAGTGCCATAAACTATTCCAGGAACTTTCCTCATATTAATTAACCAACCCCTCAGCATAGTCCCTAATATAACAAATTTACAAATGAGTTCATAAAGGATCAGAGAAGTTAAACAACTTTTTCAAGCCACAACATTAGTAAGTGTTCAATCAAATTAGAACCCATACCCAGGAGACTAAATCTAAGCTCTCTCTACCCTTTTACACTATGCAAAGCAATGCAGTGCTCCATCAGCAAAGAAACTGAGAAATCTTTCCCTTCTTCCTCCCATTAAGATGTCTGACCAACACCACACGTTCATCCCCTCCACCTAAATTGGCTCTCATTCCTCAGGACCCTCTTTAAGCCAAATGTCCTCATTCAAATTCCAATAAGATGATAGTTTGATGACCAAAAAAGTCTCCAAAGATTTCCCAGGATATTCTTACCAATTCATTCAAATACATGAATACCTTCCACATGCCAGTACTGAGCTGGGTGCTGAGGACATAATGAGGTCATTGCCCTGAAGGGCCTGGTGACAGACAAGAGTAAGAGTGACTGAGATTATAATTCAGAGACTGAGCCAGGTAAAGGGAAAGGATAATTCTTAGGAGGGTGCCTATCATTGCTACAAACACAAATATTTCCAACTTAACAGAAAGATTCCTTTTTTATAAAAAGAGATAAACTGTCACCATGACACCCTCATTTGCTCAGTGACAAAGTTGCCTTTATGTGATATTTGTTTGATTGCTCAAGTACTAGTAAAGAAACATTACAATAAAGAAACCCTAAGTTTCTTGTTAAAAGCTCACCTAAACACCTTTTACATGCTTATTACCAACAGGCTTAAACCACTGGCCAATTTTCTTGTTGACCACCCTACTAATTATAAGAAGGTTAGATGGACTCCCTAAAAGATTAAAGCGCATTGAGAACCTAAGAGTTAGAGAATATAAACCTGAGTTTGAATCTCAGTTCTATTCTTCCAGTTTCCTGACTGTGACATGTTATTTTGTCACACCGAGCCTCAGTGCCCTGTGTGTAAAATAGAGATCCCATTACCCACCTCCAATTTGTTTTGAAAATTGAATATGATGATATCTATAAAAATATTTAGTATGGTCTACAGAAAATACTCAGTGTGGTACCTATTATTATTTTTTCAAGCAATAATACTTTCATTTAGTTGATACATAGTCCCCTATATACAAAACAACACAGATAAACTTTATTGTGACACATTGTTTTAGCACCTGGAAATTAAGATGTTCAATTCAAAGTTGACAAATACTATATTGAGAATCCAGAATCTGTTTTGAGGGTGAAATATTAGAGAGAGAGTACACCTGCCTCTGAAGTCTTGATTCTGCCACTGGCTAGCCATGTTGGCTTTTTTAAAACTATAAGCATCAGTCTCCTTTTCTGCAATATGAGTAATGCTAGTATTTTATTAATTTTAAATAAAATGGTTTGTCAGAATTAAGTAAAATAATATACTAGAACAGAGTATCATCCAAATGTTCATTTCCCTTAACATAACCCCCAGTATTAGAAACTCATGCAAGAATTCTACCAACTTCATAGGATTATAGGAATTACCCTTGGTGTCTCCCAGTTACAAAGCAATTAAAATTAAAAATGTCAGGATTTTATTTTTTTCACAAATCTCTCTTTTAACACCAGTTGTCCATCAAAAAGAGAAAGCAAAAATTAACAAAAGAAAAAAACCTATCATCTACTTTCACCATTAGCATCTGCTTGTTTTGTTTTGTTTCGTTTTGTTTTTCTTCCTTCCTTTCTCCCCCCCACTCCCTGCCCTATGGTTTTTTTTTTTTTTTTTTTTTTTTTTTTTTTTTTTTTAAATATTTATTTATTTATTTATTTTAGTTTTCGGCGGACACAACATCTTTGTTTGTATGTGGTGCTGAGGATCGAACCCGGGCCGCACGCATGCCAGGCGAGCATGCTACCGCTTGAGCCACATCCCCAGCCCTGCCCTATGGTTTTAACAAGAGATAATTACTCTCATCAGAAGGAAAACATATTTTCAAAAGAATGAATTACAACTACTATATATAGGCATCACAAAATATGGTTTTCAAAGAAATTTAAAAGATGTCAAGGCAATTAGATTCAAAATTTCCCTATTAATTAAAATGGTTCCATCTCTCACTGGCTATGACAATTTTCATTTAACTTCACATTCTCCCTCTGCATAGTTCTCATGGTCACAGGGCTGTGAGAATCCAAGAACTTGCCTTTAGAAGAAACCCATGACATTTTTTAAGAGAGATAAATGTCCAGAAAACCAAGTAGGAAGGAAAAGGAAGTCCTCCTGTTAGGTGATGTCTAGTTTCCATGGCTGATTTAGAAATCACCCCACAAACACACACACATACACATACTATTAAACCTATTGATTGGAATCCAAATATTAAAATTGTCAATCCCTGAAAACCAATTAGATCTATGGCTAAAATTACAGTTTAATGAAAGATGAAAAGAAAAAAAAAGCCAAAGCTTTTCACTAATTTTAAGGAGAAAAAGGTTGAGATCCTATGTTTCCTTATTTATTATTCTCCATTATGCGTGAATTTACAAATTATTTTCCATTGTTCTCTTGCTATTTAAAGACGCTTTTACCAAACTCACTCCTGTGATCTGAGCTGCTTACCTGGATAGTCACCATTGCAATTTTTAGAATTTGTATGGCAAGTTTCCATGGCTTTCTACCTCGAGCCCAGAACTTCTCACAAGGATTCATGAAAAAGAATTTGAGTTTTCGCCTCATCTGGTCTTCTAACAGAAGCTTCTCAGATGGAGATGTTTGCTGGTTAAAGGCGCAGCGATTTTCCTCTTCATGAGAAGTGCAGCTACTTATACCTGTCTCAGGATTTTCCATCTCTAGGGAAGAAGATAAACAAGAGCTCTAGTAGGTGAGTGAAAGCACAAGTCCATGTTGCTTGAGAGTTCAGGTTAGTTCATGAAGAAGTCCAAACACAGGTCTGGTATCAAATAAGCACAATTATTCTAAACTGCACTTTATATGCTTATAGAATCAATTAAAATACAAGGCATCACATTCTCCATTTATTTCTATTACTAAGGGAATTTCCACCTTGTTGAAAGTTATCAAATTCAAAAGCTGCTCCTATCAGTAAAAGATTATATGCATGTATTATGTATTGTGTGTGTGTGTGTGTGTATACACATAGATAGATATATGCTCTCTATCTCATTAAGTAACAGATATACTTAGAGCAAAGATTGGAGTCCTGAGATTCTGGGTAAGAACTTCACAGGGCTGGGGATCCAAGATGGCTGGCCAGAGGGAGGCATCATTCTGTGTCATCCATGACCTGGGTCTCAACTAGTGGGAATACTGCTTTAGCTGAGAGTGGTAGAGGACCCCTCCACAGCTGATCCTGCACAGGAATCACAGCCACTGTGCTGCACAGGGCCCAGGCCCTCAGAGTTAGAAAAGGACTTCCAAGTACTGGCCCATACAGATCTTGCAGGTGCCTTAGCAGAACCACCAGCATAGGCACCACCCCCACAAAGGACACTCAGCCGTTACCCACATGCAGGAACTCTGGCCGCCACTCCATGTGGACCCCCATCTACTAATGTGGGGCTCCCCCAGTTGCCTCCATCTTGGGATTTAGCAGCTAGCTCCATAGTCCCCTACTCAAGGTAGCTTGCCTGCACCTGGGGACATCACAGGCTCTGAAGAAAGCTTATAGCCACAACTCTGCATGCCACAGCCATCACCGGGCTCCCCCCATCAGACCCAACACCCCATTGCTGAAAGCAGCAGCCTCCATGATGGGTCACCTCCATCACCATCTTTAGTCAGGGAAACTACCAGTTTGAAACACCCAATAGCCAGGTACCCATAGTTTTCTAATTCCTCCCAATCCCCAGCAGCCTCTAACTCAGCAGAGTGACTGCTCAATTCAAAACAGCTCTCTGTGACAGGTGCGCAGCCACCAGAGTGCAACACACAAGACCCCCAGAGAGAAAGGTTCCTGATCAGGAAGTAGAAAGGGAGAGGGTGAGGGAGATACACTTTAGAGACTAATTTAGGTGGCAGGAACTGTGAGGTCCACATGAGATGAGGAGACCCGGCACCCTCATCAGAGGAGCAGACTTCAAAGGAGATCCTTGAGGTACAGTCTCCCAACAGGATGATGGTGTTATACCCCACTTCCAGGTACCCTGTACCCAAGACCAAACCTCACACCCTGGTAACCCCCACCATCCTGAGGGTGGAGATACCAACTAAGAACAGAAATCCCCACCTATTGGATGAGAAGGAAAGCAGGACTAATCTCCAACCAAAATAGTCCTGGTTTCTTCCTTTGATATTTTTTTTCTTTCTTCTTCCCCTTTATTCTCCCACCCTCACATCCCTGACATATGTGAAACCAAGTATTTTGCATGAATTAGGATATTGAGAACTGAGACGACTAAATAGTTTATTACAGTTGTATTATATATTCTTTTTTTCCTCCAATTTTTACTATTTTAACATTTTTTAATTTTTCTTAATATATATGTGTATTTGTCTTAGGCACTCTACTGACTTTCCACTTACTTGTCTACCCCAAATTATTACCTCTCTATTCTCCTGTTACTAATCTTCTTCTTTAGATTTCTCTTTCACACTTCCTAAGATATAATAACTCTGTATCCTCATCTCATACCTCCTCAGCATATCTCTCTATACCTCACCCCTGGTTCTTTGTCCACCATTAGAAACTGTAAACCTTTTTACAAACCTACTGATTATATTGTAGATAATAATTGAATTCACTATTTCTGTACATTGTGACCAAACTTTAATGTCTTAATAACAACTATTTGTTTTTAGATGGTATTTTGTGTATATTGGGATCTGTTAACATTGTCCTTCCCCTCAAAGGTGAGGTACTGGAACCCTACAGGGGAGGATCAACAGAGCTAGAAAGGAAGCAATATGAAAAGACAAGGGAAGAAAGTGCCCCAAACAAATTAAGATACCACATTACTAGAATCCATGGCCAGCACAGCAGATGAAATTACAGATAAGGATTTCAGAATGAACATAATCAAAATGTTCTGTGAAATAAAGGATGATATAAGAGAGCAAATACAGGCAGCAAAAGATCATTTCGACAAAGAGCTACATAAGGAAATACAAGAAGCAAAAGATTACTTCAAAATGGAGATAGAGGTTCTAAAGAAAAACCAAACAGAAATCCTTGAAATAAAAGAAACAATAAACAAAATTAAAAAGCTCAATTGAAAGCATCACCAACAGATTAGACCACTTGGAAGATAGGACCTCAGATAATGAAGACAAAATATATAAAAGAATGTAGACTACACAGTGAAAATGGTAAGAAATCATGATCAGAACATTCAAGAAATATGGAATAGCATAAAAAGACCAAATTTAAGAGTGACTGGGATAGAGGAAGGCATAGAGTTCCTAACCTAAGGAATGAACAATCTATTCAATAAAATAATATCAGAAAATTTTCCAAACACAAACGAATTAGAAAACCAAATTCAAGAGGCTTACAAGATACCAATGTACAAAATCCACAACAGATCCACACCAAGGCACATTATAATGAAAATGCCTAACATATAGAATAAGGATATAATATTAAAAACCATGAGAAAAAAATCAGATTACATATAGGGGGAAACTAATTAGGTTATATGCAGATTTTTTAACCCAGACCCTGAAAACTAAAAGATCCTAGAACAATATATATCAAGTTCTAAAAGAAAATGGATGCCAATCCCCCCAAAAAATTTGTATCCAACAAAATTAAGCTTTAGATTTGATAATGAAATAAAAACCTTCCATGATAAACAAAAGTTAAAAGAATTTACAGCTAGAAAACCTGCACTACAGAACATCCTTGGCAAAATATTCTATGAAGAAGAAGTGAAAAACAACAATGAAAATCAGCAGAGGGAGGAATTACACTAAAGGAAAAGCTAATCAAAGGAAAACCCGAGTCAAATTAAATAACAAAAATGACTGGGAATACAAATCATGTCTCAAAAATAATCCTGAATGTTAATAGCCTAAACTCACCAATCAAAAGATACAGGCTAGCTGATTGGATAAAAAAATATGATGCCTCCAAGAGACTCATCTCATAGGAAAAGTCATACACAGACCGAAGGTGAAAGGTTGGGAAAAAGCATATCACTCATAGGCACTACAGAAGCAAGCAGGGGTTTCCATCCTCATATCAAATAAAGTAAACTTCAAGCTAAAGTTAATCAAAAGGGACAAAGAAGGACATTTCATACTGCTCAAGGGAATCATACACCAATAAGACATAGCAATTATATATATATATATATATATATATATATATATATACATATATATCTCCATCCCAAACAATGGAGCATCTATGTTCATCAAACAAACTCTTCTGAAGTTCAAGAGTTAAATTGATCACAACACAATAATTCTGGGTGACTTTAATACACCTCTTTCACCACTGGATATATCTTCTAAACAAAAGCTGAACAAAGAAACTATAGAACTCAATAATAAACAATAACTAAGACTTAGCTTACATATATATATACAATATTTCATCCTTCAACAAGTGAATACACTTTCTTCTCAGCAGCACATGAATCCTTCTCTAAAATAGACCAAATATTATGCCACAAAGCAAATACAAAAAATTAGAGATACTACCCTGCATTCTATCAGATCATAATGCAATGAAATTAGAAATCAATGAAAAAAAAAAGAAATCAATGATACAATAAAAAATAAAAACTACTCCAACAGCTGGAGACTAAATAGTATGCTACTGAATGAACAATGGGTTGCAAAAGACATCAAGGAGGAGATTAAAAAATTCTTAGAGGTAAATTAGAACACTGATACAACATATCAAAATCTCTGGAACACTATGAAGGCAGTACTAAGAGGAAAGTTCATTGCATGGAGTTTATTCCTTGAAAGAAGAAAAAGTCAACAAATTAATGACCTAACACTACATCTCAAAGCCCTAGGAAAAGAATAAATCAACACCAAAAGCAGTAGAAGACAGGAAATAATTAAAATCAGAGCTGAAATCAATGAAATTGAAATTTTTTTAAAAAATGAAAACATTGACAAAACAAAAAGTTGGCTCTTTGAAGAAATAAATTTAAAAAATAGACAAACCTTTAGCCATGATAACAAAGAGAAGGAGAGAGAGAACTCAAATCAAACATACGTGATGGAAAAAAAATATATATATATATATATATATATATATATATATATATATATATATCACAACAGACACTACAGAAATACAAAAAATAATTAGAAATTATTTTGAAAACTTGTACTCTAATAAAATAGAGAATATGGAAGGCATCAATAAATTTATAGAGGCATATGATATGAGTTGTCCAAATTGAATCAGGATGATATACACAATTTAAACAGATCAATTTCAAGCAAGGAAATATAAGATGCCATTAGAAGCCTACCAACCAAGAAAAGCCCAGGACCAGATGGATACACAGCTGAGTTCTACAAGACCTATAAAGAAGAACTAATACCTATACTATACAAATTGTTTTGCGAAATAGAAAAAGAGGGAGTACTTCCAAACTCATTCTATGAGGCCAATATCAACCTTATTCCAAACTAGGCAAAGACTCATCAAAGGAAAAAAAAAACCAAAACTTTAGACCAATATCTCTAATGAACATAGATGCAAAAATTCTCAATAAAATTCTGGCAAATCGAATACAAAAACATAGTGCACCATGATCAAGTGGGGTTCATCCCAGGGATGCAAGGTTGGTTCGGAAACCAATAAATGTAATTCATCACATCAATAGACTTAAAGATAAGAATCATATAATCACCTCAATTGATGCAGAAAAAGCATTCAACAAAATACAACACCCAGGGCTGGGGTTGTAGTTCAGTGGTAGAGTGCTTGCAGGTGTGAGGCCCTAGATTCAATCCTCAACACCACATAAAAATAAAGAAGTAAATTAAATTTTTTAAAAAACTCAACATCATAAAAGCTATCTATGCTAAGCCTAAGGCCAACACCATTCTAGATGGAAAAAAATTGAAAGCATTCCCTCTAAAAACTGGAAAAAGTCAAGGATTGGCACCAAAATAGACTGGCAGACCAATGGTACAGAATAGAGGACACAGAGACTAACCCACATAATTACAGTTTTCTTATATTAAACAAAGGTGCCAAAAACATACATTAGAGAAAAGACAGCTTCTTCAACAAATGGTGCTGGGGAAACTGGAAATCCATATGTAACAAAATGAAATAAAACCCCTATCTCTCACCATGCACAAAATTCAACTCAAAGTGGATCAAAGACCTAGGAATTAAACCAGAGACACTGAGCCTATTAGAAGAAAAAGTAGGCCAAAATCTCCATCATATCGGATTAGGCCCCAACTTCCTTAATGAGACTCCTATAGCACAAGAATTTAAATCAAGAATCAATAAATGGGATAGACTCAAACTAAAAAGCTTCTTCTCAGGAAAAGAAACAATCTGTGAGGTGAATAGAGAGCCTACATCCTGGGAGCAAATTTTTACCACTTGCACATCAGAAGGAGCGCTAATCTCTATAGAGTATAAAAAGAACCCAAAAAAGCTAAACACCAAAAAAACAAATAGCCCAATCAATAAATGGGCCAAGGAACTGAACAGACACCTCTCAGAAGAGGATATACAATCAATCAACAAATATATGAAAATGTTCAACATCTCTAGCAATTAGAGAAAAGCAAATCACAACTACTCTAAGATTTCATTTCACTCCAATCAGAATGGCAGCTATTAAGAACACAAACAACAATAAGTGTTGGTGAGGATGTGAGGAGAAATATACACTCATACATTGCTGGTGGGACTGCAAATTGGTGCAGCCAATATGGAAAGCAGTATGGAGATTCCTTGGAAAACTGGGAATGGAACCACCTTTTGACCCAGCTGTCACACTCCTTGATCTATACCCAAAGGACTTAAAAACATCATACTACAGTGACACAGCCACATCAATTTTTACAGCAGCACAATTCACAACAGCTTAACTGTTTACCAACCTAAATGCCCTTCAGTAGATGAATGGATAAAGAAAATGTGGTATATATACACAATGGAATATTGTTCTGTGATAAAAGAGAATAAAATCATGGCATTTGCAGGTAAATGGATGGAGTTGGAGAATATAATGCTAAGTAAGTTAGCCAATCCCCCAAAACCAAATGCTGAATGTTTTCTCTGGTAAGGAGGCTGATTCATAGTGGGGTTGGGAGGCAGAGCCTGGGAGGAATAGATAAACACTGGATAGGGCAAGAGGGTGGAAGGGGAAGGAGGGGGCATGAGGGTAAAAAAAAATGGTGGAATGAGATGGATATCATTACCCTAAGTACATTTATGAAGACACAAATGGTGTAAATATACTTCATATACAACCAGAGGTATGAAAAATTGTGCTTGTATATGTAATGAATTATAATGCATTCTGCTGAATTAAAAAAAAAGAACTTCAGAGTGTAGGTGGACTTTGAAATTACATGCAACATTTTATGTATATGTGGATATGGTCACTTTTTCTCTGGGGAGAAACTAAAACTTTAATAAAATTTTTTTTTTTAAGTTTAAAAGCGCTGAGTGGTAGGTAATAGGGTGTACGGTAGAGAAGCAAGATCTGGTTTGGTTTCTATTCTACAATTTGACACTTGTGTGACTTGATGCAAGTCACTCAGACACCTCAGTTTCCTGTCCTGTAAAATAGAAATAATGATATCTACCCTCATATGATTATAACAAGCATTAAATAAAAATGCAAATAAAGCTCTAGCATAATGTCTACCTCTGCTTACCCTCTACCCTCAGCAGATAGGGCAGTTTTCTAAACAGCCAATAAGGTTCTTCAGAGCATTGTGAACCTCAGGGAACTGAGATGTTCTACAAAGGGGAGAGCAGTTACTCAGTTGCAGTCCAATTCCCAACTAGCCCCATCACTTGTTTCTGCTTTTCACTGCAGACCTTATATTTATATAATACACTTTACTTTTCAAAGTATTTGATATCTATTGTTTCTTTTGTCACTTTGAAAAGGGTGAGGTGGCTTTTCCAAACTAATGGAGAAAGTCACTCCAAAGATTGGGACTTATCTTGGATTTTCCCCCAAACTAATTTTGATACTATGGAAACCTGTTCAAAATAAAATATCCCAAACCACCAAGAGAGTAAAATCCTTCCAGACAGAATAGAAAGACTGGTTGTTTGTTGTTTTCATAGCTTATACAAACAGCAATGAAGGGGGAATAATACAACCTACATTTATACACTACCTGGCAAGTCACTATTTAGGTACCACACTGTTTTCTAAGTCTAGAAACCACATTTGATTTGGATTCCAACATTCTTGGTAAACCCCAAACACTTCCAAGAAATAGTTGTTGGTTATAAAAGCTAGCCATGGGGAACATTTTTAAACTCTTGATTAATAAGAAACATTAATAAGGATATCGCTGAATGAATAAAGTATAAAGCATGTTTACCAAGTAGCATATGCAGTACCTTCAAAATGAAGTAATTGTAATAGAACTTATTAAAGTGTGGCTCTTACGTTTGTGGATAAAATGTAATGATGAGGAATAATTCTTAGATTAAGACAAAAGAGAGAGAAAAAAGTTAATATCTTTTATTTTCAAACAAAACATTTAATTTTCTTCTTTTAAAAAGTAAATTATTTGAGCCAGCATTTAAGAAGACTTTTACTATAGGACTTATTACAAAGATGATTTATGTTGATAAAATTTTCATATGAATACCAACATAAAAACGAAGTTGCTAATAATATTTTTATGGACTACAGAGTTAAGAGCACATTAAGCTCTTTCCGTTTTGGTATGGAGAAGATGAAACCTTAAACAAGGCAGCCACACACCGTGTAACAATAACCCACAGGAACAGAGAGAACATGAGCCAACCACCATTAATTTATTTAGCACATTGCACCAAGTTGCTCCGGAAGCAAACATTACGTTCACAAAGACAGGAGGTTCATTCAATTGGCTGCAAACGTTAATTTTACCTGTCTCAAAAACTCTCCTGAGGGTGCAGTTTGCTAACTGCAAATTGCTGGAATCCCCAGTAGCAGAAGGCACCTTGGCAGCTACTTTTTGCATCTACCCGGAAGGCACTAGGAGTGCAAGGTATGCACAGACCCCATCAAAAGAATTGGTGTGAACATACTTTATATACAAACAGAGATATGAAAAAAATTGTTCTCTATGTGTAATAAGAATTGTGATGCATTCTGCTGTCATGTATTTAAAAAAATAAAACAACAACAACAAAAAAAAGTCTATCCCAGGTATGAAGCATGCTCTGATACATGTAAATCACTGATTTACAGCTGTCAGAGGCTTAACTGGATTGAGCTGCAGGAAATTAGAGATAGGGAATCTGTGTAAATGGTGAAAGCCTCTGAGTTGGTGACAAAGTGATTCAACCTTTCCAATTTCACCTGACACAAAACTTCAGCAACAAGCGTTACTACTCCTCTGTGAGGTGGTAGGAGGTGCGAGATGCCGCGCTGACCCAGAGCAGTCGGCCTGTGAGCTCCTAAGCTCTTTAGCCCGCTAAAGCTCCCCTGGCAGCTGTTTTCCGCCAGGACCGAGACCCACTGTAGACCCAATTCCACTCCCTGACCACACGCCTCTACTAAAGGGACAATCCGAGTTACTAGCAGCAGGCTGAGCAACTTCAAGACCATCCCCGAGCTCCAGGAAGTCAATGCAGAGTGCAGCCTCTCAGGGTAGAGACTCTGGGTCGGAGGTGGCTTTCTGCTCTCGGAGTCCTGGACCCTGGCTTTTGAGTGGGCGGAGGCCTGGCGGGAGCTGATGGGCCGAGCTCACCCGCCGCAGCTACCACCTGGGGCTAACCCAGACCAGGCGCGCCGAACCCACGGGACCCCGGAGACCGGGACCCTACCCCCAGCCCGCGCGTGCTACTAACTGACCTTTAGCCAGCGATGGAACTGGTGCTGTGCCAAACAGCTGCATCTCGCACCCCGCTCCCACCTCTGTGCCCTCCATGGCGTCAAAAGCCCTGTCCTCCAGCTTTGCGTCACCTACAGCTCTCTACACAGTGGTCCCTCCCTGCGCGCGAAGCGCTGTTCCCACGACACCTGATGCCTCAGGGTGGCACCTGGTGCGGCTCACCTGTGGCTCCCGGCGCGAGGAGGGGTTGCCCAGTGGGGAACAACCGAGCGACTGGGCGAGGAGGCGTCAAATCTGCTCAGCAGCTGGGGCGTGCTGCATGTCAGCGCATTGTCCGAGCAGCCTCTGAGGCTCCGCTCCGCCCAGAGTCCAACGTGAGCCTGGCATCCTCCCTCCCCTGGCCGCTTTAACCCGTGACCCTCCTCCCCACTGCTCAGCTTCTTTTCCACGCCCTTTCTGGGGCAGCCGTTTAGCAGGACAGGTGGACAAAGCAGCCCTCTGAAGGACTCCGGTGCTGTCCGAGTGCTTTGGCACCCTCTCCCCTTACGCCCCTTGCTTTCATAGTAAACACCCCTACTTCATGGTGTGGTGCAGGTGCCTGGGCTCGGGCTTCATAGGGGCCAGGGCCACTCCTCCTGGTCCATTCCTCTCCAGTGATTTGTAGGACTTACACCCAATATTGGATGAACAGCACCTAGCACGTGTAAGAGCACAGTCCACTCCAAGGCCTGTCATTCTGATTTTGGCGTACAAGGTGAAATTCTGAAGTATAAGACATCAAGCCTGAGCCTTGTGCCCTCCTTGGTTCTTCAGACAAGTACCATGAAAATAAGACTATAAACTGGACTCTTCTCGAGGCTGGGCAGTGGGACGAAGAGCCCTGGGAGCCTCTTAGAAACAATGTGATTAGAAGCACCTAAAGTGACTTTGAACTGTAACTTTTTTTTTTTTTTTTCATGAATTTAACCTTAGTCTACTCCTTATCAGGAATGGATCAGGAACTTTGATTTTAATTACAATCATTTTGGATTTGCTTTATTTTTTTATTTTTATTTATTTATTTATTTATTTATTTGATTTTCGTTATTTGGGGCCACAGGTAAGTTTGTAAATGCCAGTAAATTTCCTTAGCACGATATTCCGGAAATTGTATCAAGAGTTGTCAGAGGCCCGGCGCTGTGGCGCATGTTTGTAATCCCAGCGGCTCAGGAAGCCAGCCTTAGCAAAAATGAGGCACTAAGCAATTCAGTGAGACGCTGTCTCTAAATAAAATACAAAATAGGGCTGGGGATATGGCTCAGTGGGCAAGTGTCCCTGAGTTCAATCCCTGGTATTCCACCCCCCTCTGCCCCTGCAAAAAAAGAGCTGTCAGACATAGATCAGTTTGCAATAGCAATTTATAAATGGAATTATCTTTTCTTGTAATGGCATACAATAATTTTTTGCTGTTCATTAGCCTGAATCCCAAGTGTTGTAGAGAAGGTAGATAGATGCCTAAAAGATATAATTGGCACACTCAATTCTCAAGTGCAATTTGAAAAATATAATCTCTAATGCCCATTTGCTGCCACACAATTTAACACTATCTCCTTACTGTAACATTGAACTTATGGCGGTGGTGAGAGTTTACAATATGTGATTGTTCGGGACAATCTGAGTCATGGGAAGGCTTATAGGCATAAAGGATAGCCTTCTCTCCCTCACTCAATTCTATTTAGAGCTGAGTTATTCAGACCCATGAATGAAAAAAGCTAGGCTTTGGAGTCACATTAATGGGGTCCCAAATTCCCTTCTATTCCACTTACTGACCAGCCTCTAAAAATTATTTACTCTTTCCACCTCTCTATTTATTTTATGTTGAATTGTCTAATAGATGGAATGGTGAATTTTAATTAATATGATGCATATAGAGCACTCATTACTGTGCCTGGCATATTTTGATTCTGTTTTTTTAAATGTGCTTGAGAATGTTGATTCTGTTTTTTTAAAGATCTAAATTAATGAAAAGATACACTGTGTTCATCAATTGCAATGCTTAATTCTATTAGGATGTCAGTTTTTAACCAAGTTCATTTATATACTCTACCCATTCTCAAGGAAAATTCCAGCAAGCTATTTTATAGAAATTGACAAGATGATTCTAAAATCCATATGGAAATGCAAGGAACCTAGAATGACCAAGGTTCATTGGTCTGGAGGATTTTCCCTACCTGATTCCAAGCCATCTAATGTAACTATATAAGCAAAACAGTTTGGTGTCGGAAAAAAGAGACAAATAGAATATATATAAACTATAGAACAGAGTCCAAAATAGACTCACATGCATGTACCTGTTCAGTTGATTTGTTTCAAAGGTGTCAAATAATATAAGGGAGAAAATTAACCTTAACAATCAACAAAGTGTTATTACGGGCTCAAAGAAGTACACTGACACCAAGTAAAAGAAAGAGGAAATGCTAATAATTCCAAGATTTAGGTAAACATTTCTGGAAAGCAGGGCAGGAGCTCAAGAAAGAGAAGCAGTTAAGATCTAATCAGTCAATCTTGCTTTTAAATATTGCCTTGTTTTAAGTGTGTGTTCCTGGGGCTGCTGGGGAGTTGTTTTTGCAAATAAAATGAATGTCAATACATTTACACACATGAAAGATACTTCCAGAAGTAAGTCTTGGAAGCAAGAAAGCCTCTAAATTGGCAGTTTCAACATATGACTCTGTGTAATACTACTGCTGTCGCTAGGAGATAAAAATGTTATTTGAATATTACCCAATCAATTCATTCGCTGCATTTTCCAGTATTTGAGTCATGTGCTGCATAAGGATATTTTGGTCAGCAACACACTGCATACATGATGGTGGTCTCACAAGATTATAATGAAGCTGAAAAATTCCTATCATCTAAGGATGTTGTAGGCATCACAAAATCTTAGCACAACATATTACTCATGTTTATGGTGATGCTGATGTAAACAAATCTGATGCATTGCCAGTCATGTAAAAGGGCAACACACACAATTATACACAGTATATAATACTCAATAGTAATAACAAATGATTATGTTACTGGCTTATGTACTTACCACGGATACTTTTAAAAAAATTTTTTGTAGTTGTAGATGGACAGTATGCCTTTATTTTATTTGTTTATTTTTATGCAGTACTAAGGATCAAACCCAGTGCCTCACACATGTGAGGCAAGCACTCTGCCACTGAGCTAAAGCCCCAGCCCCCATACTATACTTTTTATTGTTATTTTAGAGTGTACCCCTTCTACTTATATAAAACAAAAGTTCATTGTAAAATAGCCTTGGACCAATCCTTCAGGTAAAAGCATTGTTACCAGAAGAGATGACTGTTCACACATGCTGTTGCCCCTGGAGACCTTCCAGTGGGACAGATGTGGATGTGGAAGACACTGATATTAATGATCCTAGTCTTGTGTGGGTTTGGGATGATGTGCATGCTTTTTGGTTTTTAACAAAAATTTTCAAAGGTAAAAATAGTAATAATAGAAAAATCTTATAGAACAAGGACATAAAGAATATTTTCATACGATTGTACCATGTGTTTATGTTTTAAGCTGTTATTATGAGAGTCAAGTTTAAAACTTAAAAATGTATAAAGTAAGACTGCTATAATTTGTTAATAAAGAAGGAAATTTTTAAATAAATTTGATATAGCTTAAGTGCAGTGTTCACAGTCTACAGTAATGTCCTTGGCCTTTATATTCTTTCACTATTCACTCAGAGAAAATTCCAGTTTTGAAAGCTCCATTCACAGTAAGTGTCTGATAAGGTATAGTATTTTTAAAAAAAAACTTTTATACCACATATTTACCATACTTTTATATGTTTGGATATGTTTAAAAACAAATACTCAGCAATGTTTTACAATTGCCTACAGTATTCAGTATAGTAACATGCTGTGCAGATTTGTAGCGTAGGAGTAATAGGCTATCCCATATAACTAGTTGTATATAGACTACACATCTAGGTTTTTGTAAGTATACTCTATGATGTTCATACAGCAATGAAATTACCTGATACATTTCTCAGAATATGCCCTTGTTAATATAGAAGCATGACTGTATTCACTAAAGTATATAAAAAAAGATGAAATATTTTCATTATTAAAAAAAATTAATTGGGCTGAGGTTGTGGCTCAGTGGTAGAGCACTCACCTAACATGTATGAGGCCCCGGGTTCAATCCTCAGCACCATATAAAATAAATAACTAAAAATAAAGGTATTGTGTCCAACTACAACTAAAAAATAAATAATAAAAAAAGTTAATTAGAACAGACTTTATATATAATCAGAGATATGATAAATTATTGTGTAATTGTGTATTAAGAATTGTAATAATAAATAAATAAATAAATAAATAAATAAATAAATAAATAAATGAGGCAAAAAGAAAGTTAATTGGTTTTCCAATGAAGAATATGTATTTTTTTATGAGTATCAGTATATATGAATACTATTTCCTTTTTGAGAAGAACTAGACCATATTAACCAAAGCCTAACTAATAAATTCTCCAAATTAAATAAAAAAGAAACCAATAAAACACTCAGTTGTATGAAAGAAAAAAAAAGTTAGTTTATATAAAGCAATATATGCCCTATGTTCAATATGATAATGCTTTTGGAAGCACTTTTAACAACTGAACCAACATCAAATGCAGAATAAGAGAAATTTTATCACCTCTAGATATTTATCACAAAGTAAAAATATCAAATAAAGTGATTATTTTATGTCTTAAATTACCATTGACAGAATAACTTAAAATATTAGTCTTATTTTTCACTTAAAAATATTTTTTAGAATTAGTTTGTATCAATGCTTCCTTGTTTTAATGATTTTTATTATAAAATATCTATAACAGGTCAGGTATGGTGGCAGGTTTCAGCTACTTGGAAAGCAGAAACAGGAGGATCACAAGTTTGAGGCCACTTTCAGCAACTTAGCAAAACCCTGTCTAAAAATAAAAAATAGAAAGGGCTGGTGATGTACTTCAGTGGTAAAATGCCCCTGGGTTAAATCCCCAGTACCAAAAAAAGGTGAGGGGAGAGGCTTGGTGCTGGGGATACAGCTCAGTAGTGAAGCATTTGCCTAGCAAGCACATGGCTGGCGATTCAATTCTTAATTCCACACACGCACACACAATCTATAACAGCAATCATTATTATATATAATTGAAATATTTAATCTCATTCAATATACTGGTTCATAGTAATAATAAACCATGCTTTTATTATCTTTTTTAAACGAAAAGAAATCCTTGGAACTTTTAGCATAATTCTAACACAGAAAAACTATTCACTGTTTATTCTTACTCCCTATATTTTAAGAACATCTAAATAAAATGGTATGAA